CAGATCGATGTTGTATTTTTTCTTCTCTATTTTTTTGCAATGTCGGATAGCGAAGAAAATTCGGGAAGGTTTAGTGATTCTTCTGAGAGTGAGTCRGATTTCGGTGCAGTTGGTGGCCAAGTAGAGCCTTACATGTTCGAGCCGGAGGCAGTGGAGGGAGCTGGTGTTGTAGTAGAGGAAGAGGATGAAGACGGCCTTTCGCCTGATATTCTCGAAGCCAGAAAAGAAAAACGGATCCCTGTTAGTGTTTGGTAAGTGTATAGAAATAATTCATTGTATATGAAAGTTGTTTTGATSAATCAAAAAGTGATACATGTACAATTCTGCTACAATTTGTCAAAAAACTTGATTGATAATGAAGTAAGTATTTGTTTAAAAAATGAACTTAAATTCTTAAATATATTTTCATAAACAGGCATGTCGGAATTATGTGCGGATGCGGACGGGCATAAATTGCCCCCTTTCCGCATAATTGACCAAATCGCGCATAATCCCGCATAATTCATGATTTTTTCCCATTTTATACCATTTTCAAAGATGATTTGCCTTCTACTGATGTTTTTTGTGGTTCCTTGACTGTTTTTTTTGCTCTAAAATCGCTCCCAAATRCGCCTGTAATTTACCGAATATATCGTTTTGTTTTCGTTGGCTCACAAATGACCAGGCGTTCAAATCTCATCTGAAAAGAGCCTGGACACTACATACTTGTTCTTACGTGAATTTTTATTCGTAAAATGATAACCAAGTCTCTTTAGATAATCACCACTAACTTATGGCGGGAAAKGGAAAAGGCGGCAAATTTCGTATATCTGAATTATGGATAGGTTTGTAATTAGAAACGAGTCTTCTGAAGTACAGAAAAAGAGAAAAAATCATGAATCCATCCATATCACAGCGAAAGCAAGAGCTCGCTTATATCCAGAAGGCATTTTCCAYGAAGATGACGGGGTTCTCTTCTGCTCGACATGCAATATTGCTGTCGAACATGGCAGAAAGTGTGTGCTGGATAGACATCTTCAWTCAGCTGCCCATAAACAAAGGTTTTTAACGTAYAATGGGAAGCAGCAGACACTGAAAACTGCATTGGAAAATAAAACTGGCAGGAAAGTGGAGAGGGAAAAGGTGTACCACGAATGGATCAAGGTGCGTTTCAAACCMAAAACAAATGTTAAGCTTAATTGATTTTTTCTTCAAGCTGTACGTCGATTTCGTTCACGTARCAGTTCGTCCAAACATATATYGTCCATGCATAAAAATAGTATTGACATTCTTAAGTCCTAGCTCTAAATAGCAAAAATAAAGAGGATTTTTTGCTTATGCTTGTACTTAATGCATTTGAATTAGCTGCGTATTTTCAAAAGCAAAGTAAAATTGTTATCKAAATAAAGTAAAAAAGTACCCATGATGCAGAGGATGTGTCAATAAATATTACATGCAATAATGTAATAGCTTTACATGTATTAAATTTATTTAGTTCAATATTATTATTTTTAATTTTACTATGAATTTAAGGMGTGTGCAGCTTCAAACATCCCTCTAAATAAGACAGACAACAACGAAGTACGAAAATTCCTTCATTCAAGAGTCCTTAATGGTGGGTCAATAACACATGCTCGTCAATTGCGCGAAAGCTACCTGCCAGATGTTTATGAGGCTGAAAGAAGTGATATGAAAAAACTCATCCAGGGCCAAAAAGTCGCTATTATCGTTGACGAGCTTAGTGATGATGAAGGTAGATTTGTACTTGACATTATGGCTGTTATTCTTGACTTCGATTCCCTATCCCCAAGTGGAAGAACATTGACGTATCTTCTTGACACCCACTACTTAACTGAAACAAATAATAAAACAGTAGCACAAG